CCCCAAAACCCCAAAACCCCAAAACCCCACCAAAGGTAAGCCAACAGAAGGATTATAAATAATTAATTTATGATGGATGCGCATGAGCGTGGTTACGCTGAGCAATTTAGGAAGGAATCAGAGTTTTGAGATGAATGTGATGGAAGAAGATGTGAGAAGTGGATAGCTACTGTGGCGGTGTTATTGGGGGTTTGAGTTTTATTGCAGGTTTTGTTGGGTATAAGCACGTACAGATTCTTTTAGGACCTTGAGGATAAGGAGGAAGTTGCTGACGATTTCGTCAGTTTTCTTGAATCTCACTGTGTTTAGTAGAATATATTATTATATTAACGAGATTATAGCAAAATCAGAGTAATGTTTATATTAAGCTTTATAGGGATTGAATATTTAGCCAAAATTTATGCCGAGATGGTATTACTACAAACTTTTCCATCTATTGCCTCCTTGCTTCATTCTCTTTTGGCATTCTCAATTGGTTGAACCAAATCAGGGAAATTAAAAAGTATAACCAAACCACCAAAAAGTGTCTATCGACACTCCTCAAGATCTGCATTGCCTTGATCATGATCATCTTTATTATTCTGTTCTCCTTAACAGCATTTTTCTCATGTTATTCTTCATTTCATAGACATGCTGATATTCTCGAATACATCACCCAGTTCATCATCATAGTATGTTTTTACTTAATCTTCATTGTGTATCCAGTTGCAGGCTACTACTTTTACAAACAACTAAAGCTTTTCTGAATAGAGAAGGCCTTGCAGATGAAAAATAAGATAATACTGACAACGAGTTTATTCATGGTTTCGGTATTTACAAGAGCTACTTTTAATATTTTCTCAATGATATACCATCTGGATGATATTTTTGAAAAGAGAGGAATCTGATGTAATACTACTAAATTTCCTATTGTTATCGGTCTTTACCTAATTATCACTGAGTTCTTGCCTATTATCTCTCAGATCCTTATGATGAACATATTATCAAAGAGCTTGAAATTCTCAACAGAGCCTTCACCGAATTCTGAAGCTGATACAATCACTAAGTAATCTTATCTCTAAATTTTCTTTAGAAGTCTTATAGAGGAAAATGACACTTTCAGTGACTCAAGTCATCACATAAGTAGTAGTCTCCAAGAAAGTGTATTACTATGAAGTAACAAGTCCGATTTTTATACAGATGAATCATTGATGCGGCAAGAAGGACTTTTATAAACCGAATCCACAAGTTTCAAAACAAAGCTTGTCCATTTATTTTATTCTCTCTGTATCTGGATTCAATCAGCTGATATACTTGGGGTTTTGGGGTTTTGGGGTTTTGGGGTTTTGGGG